TATAATATTCTGTGCATTATAGTAGATGTCATTATTATTAATTCAATTACAAGATATTTCGAACATACATAAATTTAACATAGTAATAGTTTTCATATAGTCAGTTGCCTTTGTATTAAATTTTTTACTTCATCAAAAATGAGTGAAAAGGGTTCTTCTGTTATGTCCTTAAAAAAATTTGCTACATATTCTTCTGATACATTTTTATACACTTCCTCAGCTGTAAAATTATAAAATTATTTAATCAATTATTGAAATCAATTATTATTTTTATGAAATATAATATTGAAATATTTACATTTTATTGATAAATGTCCAAACAATTCACAAGATGCTACATTAAAAACACTAGTGTCTTTTATGCCTGTGCTGGATTTTCTAGCCCAAATGTAAATCCTCAGGTCTTCATATTCTTTTCCAGAATCTGCTTTTGCTCTTGTAATGTAAACATTATGTGCTATCTGCTTGTTTTGTAAATAGTTTATGACTAAAAACGCCCAATTGACAAATTCATCTATATTTTTTACATTTAACCGTTTTATACAAAATCCATTTGCAGGGTAGTTCTTTAAAATTTGTACAGGACCCATAAAGTCATCAAGATCCTAAAAACGAAAATAATAACAGTAGTAAACTATTGTATGCAATTAAATAATATGTAAGAATATTAAAGTATATAAAGTATACAAAATTGATTTACAATATATTCTAACAACATCTTATGATTTAGATAATACAGATGCCAGTGAAGGTGGTTTACAGATGCATAAGCACAGAGACTATTGAATACCATTCGGATATATCTAAAAATAAAAAGCGATTAAAATGTTAATTTTTATATCAATTTTATATTGTTAAGTTGAACATAATATTACTTACAAATCGTGACTTAATGCAAATATATCTAAAGCTTTGTACAGACTATATTTTGTTACAACTTGAGGTAACTGTTTCCATCTCTCAGGTAACAATAAACAGTGACAATACTCCAGTGGACTAATATTAACTGCAATTATATCTGCTTCATTTTCAGCATCTAAATTCATTATTTTCTCTTCTGAAGAAATTTTAGTGAAATTGAAACGTTCTTTATCAAACAACTGTGTCATTGAAGTGATATTTTCAGGAAGCCTTCTATTACAACCACGGTCAATGTTTAACTAAAATCAACAATTAAGCGTCTAATTATACTTGGTTTTTAAATTTGTAAGTATATTTTAATTTTTATGTAAGCATATTACTAAAAGTTGTTATATTACCTGAGCTAAGAATTGATACTTTCCACTTAATATTTTTGAACTTTTAATATTTAATACATAACGAAATATTCCTTTGTTTTGAGCTTCTTCCCATTTTTCTTTCAAGATAGAATCAAAATTCAATTCTTTCTTTTCTTTAATAGTACTATCATTATTTATATGAGACATACTTTTTGAAAACAAAAATTAAATTTCTTTTAAAGTATAGATTATTTTAGACAATTATCAACTGCAATTTTTAACAAAGTAAATACTGTAACATAACCTATTACAAACGAATATCAACTTCAACTTTATAAAATTAAACAACAATAATAATACTGATCTAATTCTTTTTCGAGTTTCACTTAAACTTATATTTTTCTTTTATGTCAAAAATTTTACATGTCAAGCTTCGTATCTCTTATATTCGAAAAAATTGTATAGTTAACATATAAAGGTTGCATAACTTATCTATAAAAGGTACTTTATCAATTAATTTTTCATCGGATTATAAATAACGAACGAAACCACAGTTTCGTGGAATAATTCAATAAAAATGATACTTAAAGAAAGATTATCTATATATTTATACAGGTGATTACTTCCAAAGATTAACATAATAAATATATAATAAATATTATTATGATACGTAACAAGGGTGGAGGGAAATATAATATAAGGAAGAAAATAATTCATATCGTGTAACTAATATTATTCGTGGTTTCAGGAGTCGATATTGAGGTGCTTTAAAATTTCATTTGTCTTTTGTATATTCTGCTTAGCTTGCTCCGCCAATTTTCCTTCCGGAAGAACCTTCGGTTCATATTTCAATAATTGATAAGACTCAAGCAAACACTTCTTTGATTCCTATCAAATAAGCAAAAAAATAAAACATGTTAGAATGCACAGCTTCTCAACAATGTAGCAAAATATTTACCATCAACAATATCAAGGTGCCTTCTTCCGTGTGCCTCCTACTAAATTCTGCAAGAGCTGCGTGCATTTCATAAAGAATTAATCCCCGAATTCGATTTTCAGCTGAAAATGCAACATATTCAGTACGCGTCTAACACTCTGCCGTGTCGTCGAATTATCTTGTTATTAATACTGCTTTGAAAATCTCGAATATTCTACCTAGAAAATTTCGAATTTGAAATCCCACTTTAAAAAATCGCTCGACCAGCAGTCTGTCGAGTAACTGCGCTCGGTGTTTGAAATTTTGAAGCGCAGCTACAAAAACGTAGTCGTGTCTCAACCACTAGCGTTACATGTACAAACGTTTGTTCATATATTTTTCATAATGATCTTATGAAACTGTTACGAATCGGTTCGTGACACTATGAAGAAAATCAGACCAACCATGATAACGTTCGGATAAACGAAAAGGTGTCGTACATCTAATAATGAATGCCATTGGAATCGTGAAATTAGAGAATGATGGAGTTATCAAGTTACCGGGCACGAGAATTCGAAGTAAATTATCGAGGTTCTTGGACAGTTCTATTTTCTCGATCAGGAGATTCTCGTCGACCGTCGCCAGTCCTCCATTTTGTTGACCGATTAACTGAACCAAAGCGACAATGATGTCGACGTTATAAAAATGATTCGGATGCAGAACGTTCTTGTAACGACTCAAAAATTCTTTACACGCGGTGACGTCGTTCTTTTTGATTTTCGACAGGTCGACGCCGACCCTTTCTAGAATTTGTTCCACTTCGTCGTAGCTCATCGATAATTTGCACGTTCCACATACGTACGGTTGCTGTTCTTGTGTGAGGAAAGTCTTTGGCAATGTATACCCTGTGCAATTCCTACAAATAAGTTGAACATTACGATTCTACATAAGAATTCTATTTAACCCTTTGCACAGCTGATTCGACGCAGCAAATTTCTAAAGTTTTCAATTCGATATTAACCCCTTAACTTGCACACTCGAGATAATTCGAGCGGCGTTTTTCATGTAAAATATTATCGAGTGCAAAGGGTTAATAGTTACAAATTACGATCACGTGTTATTGTAGATTCATTTCCACGAATTTCTGATGCTATTGAGAGATGATTTGTAATACTGTACATGAATCCGTATGGAAAATGTAGAATAGTGTATGTAATATAAAATGTAAGTCTTTCTTTCTCGTGTGGCTCGTTTGTAATTAACTTAAGGTCTGTTGGTCCATGTGTAAAATTCGATATCCCCTTTCCTGTGTGTATTGCAATGTACTCTATTGTGTTACGCAACTTACGATATCTTACGTTTTATTGCATTTCAGAGCGTTAAACATAAGGTTAAATTCTGTAGGGTCTTTGCATCGATCGCAAATGCAATCGAAGAATTTTGTTTGCGAGAGATAGTGTCTCCTATTCGCAGTGCCCCATAGTGCATCTGTGTAACAGATGGAAATATGGTCTCCTGAAATACAAAGAATTTTTAGGAAACTAATATAGAGCATAGACTATCTTAATTGAAACATGTTACTAAATCTCAATATTTTAATATATTTAAACATTTGAACATATTTTAAATTTTAAAATTAACGTATCGATATTGTAAGTGAATTTTGGAATTTAACGAAATAACCTTACCCTTAGCAATAGGCATTCCTGCGTGAATAATTAGCCCACCTTCATCGGTGAAGGTCTTCGAACAATTCGCTTTACAGTTATGTTCGATTAACGATGCTAATTCGTAAACTGCAATGTGCGGCGGTTCGGTGAGAGGAACTTCGTGTCCATTAACCTGTAATAATTAGGTTCAGATTTAATATCTTTAATTTCTGAGCAGGTAAAATAAGGACCTCTCTTCGCAAACATTTACGAACATTACCTTACCTGCAAGATACAGACAATTCGTGTAATTTCTTCCTCGGTTATGTCATCTGCTCTGAAGAATCTTTTGATGAAACGTGTAATTTTCGCTGCTTCCTCGAAGGTGAAACTTTTCTCCTCGTTAATTCGATCAGTGTGGCTTTCGAGGGATAGTAACTTCTTGTAAACTTCTGGATTGGCGTGTTTCATGGATAACGTTTTTATGACATTTATACACTGGTAACTCGGATGTGTGTAGGGAAACCTAGTGATGGATACCTGCAATGATGTACAATTTATTTATGTTTATTGAACTGTATTTTATACGCTGATAAAAATTCATGAAACCATTTGACTTTTAATTGAATGAACTTCTTTATTAGTAAAGTATATCTTTTCTATTAACTTTTAACACATTGCGCGCCAGCCTCGCTCTAACTCGAGATTTTTAGTCTATTGTTTAACTACTAGTCAATACAAGTACAATACAAATCCAAAGTAAAATAACAAAATTGAATTCCTTATTGCGTGTCATAAGTTATAAATTTCTAATTTAAAAATATATCAATAATATTATAAGAAATCTCGTTTTTCTATAAAGACACTTAGCTATGTAACTTAGCTAATTACCACAGCCTTAGATAAATATGATATAAATTGATTTCATTGAAAATTGCCATTGTTACGGTCTTCTGAAAATTGCCATCGTTACGGTTTTCTGAAAATTACCCGGTACGCAATGTGTCAAGATAGAGGAAAGGGAATTCATACACTAGTCTACAGTAGATATATTTCGTCAAGATAATAATCACCTTCTCGTCTCTGCGAGAACAAGTGAAATCACATTCCAATCCATGCTCTTTGCAGTCCGGACAAAGAGGCCATCCGCATTTTGAGCAAGGTACAGCACTATCTTTATATAGCGCTGTGAAGCACCCAAGACACACGGGTATGGAGTTGTACATGGGGCCAGCTAGCAAAGGTTGCTCATCCTTCAGAATAATTTCTCCTACCTTGATATTTCTCGTGGCTACATAATGACGACCCAAAATTTGATCCTCCGCCAACTTTGAAAAGAATTTTTAAATGAATTCTAACCGGCGAACACTCTCAAATATTAACCCTTTGCGCTCCGTAGGCGCCTCTCAGTCAACTGATTTGACACAGCAAAATTACAGAGTTTGACATTTAACATTAAACTTTGTACAATGCATCGACATGTAAAATATTAAAATAAAACAGCCTCCTTTAATTTATGTGCGATTTCTCGTTAAGTCAGAATGTCGTTGGTATTTCAGTAAAAAATGTTATATTATCGGAGCCTACAGAGTTCAAAGGGTGAACCATCTGTCAACATTGTTCACTGCACGTCTAACCTTATAAGGTTTGCAGACTTCGGCATGCTTCTTCCAACCCTTCCTCTGGTGTTCCTTGCAACAGTAGTAAACACTCTCGCAGGCGCTGCACTTATGAGTCGCGAACTGTCCGCAAATGGCGCAAACAGTTTGAGATTCCATTGATGGTGCTCTCGAGAAGCTTGTTTTCCATAGGACAGAAAATTAGTTAAAGTAGAGGCGTTCAAAGTAAATAGAGAAATACGAGTCGCTTTCTTCCGTGCCTACAGCATTCTCGGGATTAGTACGATTCTGCTCTAACCGACTGTCCTCAGTCTTCGACGCGTGATTATTATTGGCACGCGACAATGGCGGAAGACGAATGATTTCGTCTATGTGAAAAATAAGGTGAACGTGCCAATTAGTCGGGGCTACGAGGACATATTTATATTACAAATGCAAACATTTCTATTAAATAATTTCTATTCATGTAATCTTAATTGCTTATAGTTATTGGTGCATTTACTTCATCTTTAAATCTGACCCTTGAAGATGACTCTTGTCATCGTGAATTCTATTAACCCTTTGCACTCGAAAGGTGCCTCTCAGTCAGCACTCGATCGGTGCGTCAACGTTGTAAAATTTCGTATTTAACATTAAGTCTTGAGTAATCGATACGTGAACTGTGGAAATGAAATACCATTGTTCCCCTTATTGAATAGATTCCTCGTTAAGTTAGTTTAAAAAAATGTCATCTATATCTTATAAAAATAAATTGAATATTTCTAGTGATAAATTTTTGGTGTGCAAAGGGTTAAAATACTGAAAACCGGTGCTTGTACCTGTCACGAGTGGAAATAACGTAAAATAATAATAATAATAGTAAATAATTACAGACAGCCGCGTTAGCCGACAATAGCCACAGGCATGCGTGTTCGGGGAATTTTGAAATTCAACGTTCTCGAGAGACCGAAGTATCTCCGCGCGAGCGAAACCGATTCTACAATTTTCTCTTATCTTTGCACAGGCGACCCGCCGTTTCTAGTTTGTGCAGTATATTTAGACGCACACCGTATTTAGTCTACCGCTACGGTCATATTATACCGCGACCCAATCTTATGTAATTCCCTTGTGTCTTAACACTAGAACTACCGAGGATTTAATACGACTGATATGTAATCCCCATAAAAATTCTAACAATAGATTATTTTCAGTTTCTTTGGATATTCATCATAGTACTCTAGTGAAACTATTTTCAAAATCATTTCGAATATTCAATGCTCTTAAGATATCAATAATTGCTGAACAAAAAAATCGAATCCAGTCATTTTGAGCATTTAATACGATTAATATGCAATTCCTATAAAAATTGTAACAATAGATTATTTTCAGTTTCTTCAGACATTCGTTATAGTACTGAAATGAAACCATTTATTTTCAAGATCATTTTGAATATTCAATTCAAAGATATCAATAATTGTTAAACAAAAGAATCGAAAGCAGTCATTTCGACTGGTACGGTGGTTCTATTGTTAATTTTCCGCGTTAGACGGCTGTACCCACCAGAGAGTGATTCGATTCTTCAAACGGAAAGAAACTTATATTTGAAACACGGCATACTTATCTGAGGAACACCAGGAAGATTCCACCTGGATGATATTCAATTAGAAATCAGGTTCGCTTCGACTCGAACAGCGTGAACAGTTCATTCGAAGTGAACCGAAACGTTTAATGCGCCTCTCGTATACGATTTACACTGTAATTCTTTTGATTACGTTCCCAAATGAAACTTAATTGGACGAGTAATGAACCGAGTACCTAACGGGTCCCGATAATTGTAATTAACGCTCGATCAAATTATCATCGCGCACGTTGCCGCGGTGGAAGAACCTTATCCGAACCAGCGATCGTCCGTTTTCAGAGAGAAATCAGCAGTAACTAACCGGCGTACCGGTTCGCGCAGGAGGAAGTTCAAATCATGAATAGAGTTTATTTATAGACAAGAGCAGATACTTGCTAATGCATGCCGGCTTATGTACCTAATCACGTGTATTTAACGTCCACATTTACGACGCGCTCGTAACGGATACTCGCCACTGTGCGAAGTGATTTTTTCTTTCGGAAATTTCGTATCGCTGTTAACCCTTTGCACTCGAGAGGTGACACTCACCATTTGATTTCATACAGTGAAGCTATAAAATTTGATGTTTAACATTATATTTCCTGTAATGCGTCATTTTGAGAAATATTCGAATAAAATAGCTTTGTTCCTGAATGTACGCCTGATTTCTCTTCGAGTTAGTTTCATAAAATGTTGTTTTTATCTCATTCGAATATCTTGAAATATTTCTAGTGAAAAACTTCCGAGTGCAAAGGGTTAACAGTTGATAACAGAGCGAAGTTCGTGATTCATACTATTGATTCTAGAGATTCTTTGATTAATTGAATTTGAACGAGTTAAGTATAAGTGAAGTAAATACGTTGTACGAATAAGAGTACATTAAAGTATGAAAATTGATTTCTTGTAATAGATTCTTCTGTTTGGAAATGAAATATTCTAGTTCAGCAGCTTCAGGTGAGTTTTCGGAAACCGACGGCGCACGATTTGGACAATGTGTGGTTTCAATTGTATCTTTATTTAGCGTGTTATAAAAAGACTACGGACATTTGCGCAAATACACATTTTCGCGGGTTAACTTCGAGCATATATCGAGTAAACATTCACGTGGTATCCCGCCGAGCAAAGAGGAAAATAAAGCTCGCGGTTCATTTCACCAAAGTTATCATTTCCGTTATGTTCTTCTCGAATCTTTTTGTTCTTGCCGAAAGATTGCGCGAGCTACAACGGATTTCCTCGAGACTTCGTTAGATTGACCCTTTGAACTCTGTAGGCTCCATGCGCCAGTTCTAATATTAAATATTTCAATGAATCTTAAAGAAACTACCCTAAAATTATTCGATTTTCCACATCCAAATTTTGTACTAAGGAAAATAAACGATCGAAGGAATGTTACAGCATTTCTAATATTAAATATTTCAATGAATCTCAAAGAAACTACCCTAAAATTATTCGATTCTCCACATATCCAAATTTTGTACTAACAAGGAATGTTACAGCATTTCTAAATTTCGCGGTTAAGACGATTTCGGTAATTCTCCCTAGACCACCAGGTTCCATCGGATCCACCGAAACAGAAGGATTCAATTCTAAACGACCAACGCGAACGCGACTGGGAACGAAACTCAATGAAGGAACAGGACGATTCAGAGGAAGAACATCGGCGACGAGTTTAATTCTAATATTTTATTGACCACACAGCCGTTAAATCTGACCGTACACAGCATACCTTCGTGCGCCGTGTCTACACGCGTACATGATTCTTCAGAATGCGTGAAAAGCACCGATTCCTTTCGATTCGATTCTTCGTCAACCCCTTGCCGTACGATGACGAGACTCTTCGCGAACATTTCTAAATTAATCCATCGGAAACCAATACTGTTCATTAACGCATCGAACTGAATATTTTACTAGTACAAATTCATTACCTTCGAACTAAATTTACACTCACAGTGGAACAAACAACTTCTCTGTATATCTCCCAAATTTAGAAGAAAGTTATACAAACGAAAATAATTAATACGACAAGGGATTGAACGCTATCGAGCGTCTCCGTCTAATACGCATTGCGTTTCGCGAAGAAAAATGTCGGCCATTGCTTCGGTGAGGCCGGAAGCCATTTTCGGACGTCGGCCATTCGTCGTCGAGGTGTCCAGCGCATTGCCGATTTCGCGTTAACCCTCTGTAGGCCCATGTAACTTTGAAGTCACGTGTTAGTATATTGGAATCTTGTTGATTTATTTCATTTTGCACTGAAAGTGGCGAGTAAAATTAAATAATCAGTTAACTTCAACTTTTATACGCTCAGGCGTGAAAGTTCGTCATTGTAACTTGAAAGTTACAAAATATACTCGTTTGATGAAATTATTGAAACTATTCGATACATTGTTAACTCGGATTCGTATGTGGATATCTATTAATTTTGTACTGCATAGATTCTGTTATAATAATGAATAAAAATTCGGCCCATAGAGGGTTAATTCAATTCGAAATGCATTCGCCAAATGATTCCTCGTGTTCAGATTGAAACTAGAAACGTGGAAACGTTAATTGTGTTTTGTACTATCGTTCTTCGGCTAGCACAAATCTCGTTTAAGTCTAGCTACCAGTGTGCAACGCGGACTACGAAACATTTCAATTTTCACGGACGATCCACGGATTTATACGAGCTGATATGTAGAGGTATACTTTCTTCGTTGAACATTTTTCTCCGCGAGTGATCCACCGACTCGATGCTAATTATTATTTATATACAATCATTTGTTTGCCAGCGTGTCCGGCTGTTTAATTATTAACGCGCTCCGTGCCACGGACATTTCGGTGAAATTTTGTGAACTGTATTGAGTTTTTTCGTAAAATATTAATTTGCATTCAAGTTTTTGGTAAGTTTTATATATTTTCATGTTCCTTTATGTTCTTGCTAAAAATATTTTCTTAGAGAAATATATAGTATACGTGGCACTGAACGCGTTAACGATGCTACAGTATAGCATCCCCTGATTTATTACTTTACTTTGTTACTCGAAACTTTCCTTAGTTTGAAAAGAATAGCATGTTCTTGAAAATATGTCACTTCACATGGAGTTCATGTCTTCCTCTCGTTCGACAATTGAAAAAGATGTACAACAAATGAAATTCAGTCTCTAGTGGAACAAAAGAGGCGCAATTAGAAGAGCGAGTGTTGATTGCACGACCAGGATCGTGTCCAACTGTTTAAGAACCAGCGAAATATATTCAAGCGACTTCGACTCGCTCGTGAACCGAGAAATCTGAATATCCGTTTTGCTAGAAGCTTGACCTCTTGATATACTCGGTGCAATATCGACGTTCGCTCGAGAATCGAACACGTACAACGAGCTGCTTCTTAATTTCCATGAAAAAACCGAAGATGAAAATTCTCGTGGCAATTTCCCTTTGACCAGCTAATCGTCACAAAGCACCGACCTTCGAATAGAAACAAAAGAACGAAGAAAAATCGTTTCGCCAGGTTCTCAGCGTCCGAAGTCTCCATTCTAGCTGGACGATCGTGCGTGTTGTGTTCGCAAACGAAAAAAACTGGGAAAAAACTCGTCAGATCGAAGCGAATCCTTCTATATTCCATAAATGAGTATCAACTACATCGTTATGTTTCGGTACAAAAAATTGTTGTCGTTGTAGCGGGGGAGGGAGAAGAGTAGACGTTCCGTTTGGCGGATGCTCCGAGAAAAACGAAAGGAAGGGAACCGTGTGAGAAGGGAACGGTGATTTTCCAGCATTCCGCGGCGACGTTCGGATACGCTGCAGCACGACTACCGATCCCGAGGAGCTCTCCTCTTCCGTCGGCGAGCCGGCGATCTTAGAAACACCGTCGAGCCGATCGGCGCCGAGCTTAATTAGAACGCCGGACAATATGTTCATTTACGAGATAATTCGCTACGTGCTACTTATTATAGTCGTCCCTTACAATAGTTACATCTGTAATTGTATAGCAATTAAATAAATATCCCGGAACTCTCGATCGTGCGACGCCTGTTCCTTCGGTTTCTCCGTTTCGTCGAGACTCCAGGCGTGCCTCGCCGCCTGCTCGTCTCTCCTTTGCTCTTTCTCCGCGCCTTCCTTTCTCTTCGCTATATACTTATCGTTATCGTGTGAACGTTGCGTGTTCGGTGCGTTCGTCGAGTCTTTGTGTGCGATACTTCGCGACGGCGTCGTCGCGGTTCTATACTTTCGTGCTTTTGACGGTTCGCGCGCCGCACAGCGCGCCTGTGGACAAAACCCCGAAATCCGGCTATTCGCGCGACGAACATTGGAGGTTACCAATGTCGCCAGGCAGTTCCTGCTGTACGAAATGATTTCCATTTGAAAAATCAACGTTTTCCGCGAAGGAACTCCGTTTCTCTGTTCGTGCGATGTTGGGATCGGAACGCGAAGTCTCCATTGTCATCGGAGAAAGCTTCGTAATATCCCCGCATTAACCATCCATCTAAACGGAATATAACCATCGTATTCTCAGCACTATACCTTACAACTTTCGTCCGAAGCATTCTCTCATATCACCGATGCTTTTCAAGTTTTGTCCAGAAAACGGCCGTTCGGCCGCACTGTGCGCCGTGTTCGCGGTGGCTCCCCCGTTTCTGCGTTCCCTGCCGCGAACGATTTCCCCTGACAACCCTAAGGTCCCGTTTACCCTTAGCCCTGCTCGAGAATGTACGGTGCTATAAGAAAAATAAATCGCCGCTTTCCAAGAGTGTCCTGAACCGTTCCTCTTTCGCGGGCGAGAGACGCCGACGGTGTTCGCGTCGGATACGCTCGAGCATCTCGCGTTTTCCGGTCGATCGTTTCGCGGCAGCGCGCCGAAAGAGTTAATTACCCGCCGGTTCGTTCGCCTCGATGAACCATTTACTCGCGAGCGATGAATTATTCATCGGATCTCGCCGGTGATCCCCTTTCGAGGCGCTGCCGCGCGGTTCGAGTCCGCCTCCCCGTTCGACGAAATGTTCACTGCCCTCTCCGTTGCTTTCAAAACGCTGCTGATTGTTGTCTATCTTGGTTTTTTATTCGCTTTTAAACAAAATATACAATTGTCTGGTAAGACTTAACACTTTCATTGATGATTCCCGTGTTACAATCCTCCGATGCGACCAGTCTGACGCGCGCGAGCGCGTGGCTCCTCCGCCGATCCAATGAACGTGTTAAGCTCAGTCCACGTGGAATTTAGACGAGCGTGGAATTTTTAGCGATATCCGTCTGAACCGAATCGAACCGAGGAATCCGTTGAAACTCTAAACTCAGGCTGAAGTCGTCCGGTTCGCCTTGATCGATCTGTTCTCGTCGTGCGTGCTAACTAAATCGTGTTTGCTTCTCCTCGGTATGTAACGTAATACTTATGCGATTCGCCGTGAACGTTTCAATATCCGGCAAAGATCTACTTGAAGTTTGAAGATCCGCTGCTGCGTGTCTACTTTGCCCGCCGTGCGCGGTCGACGCGTTTAAAATCCATTCCTAGGAACATATCTCGTTCGTCTCTCGAGTAAAATTCTTCGTTTAATGCGCGCGCGCGGCTCGTCGCGCGGATGGTTCTCTAAAGTTACTTTACACTTTTTCTCTTTTTCTTTTTTATTCGTCGAGCGGACGATTCTCGCGATCCGCCCCGCCGCTACGTGTTTATCATAGGTACGTTAACCGTTTAAAGGTCGACGCGTTCGCCACCAGCGTCACGCGTTTCCAACCAATGGCGCTTCGCACTCAGCGTAAAAATAACGATAACCTTACGCGTTTTGTCACGCGTGCGGTTTAACACAAAGGAAATTGATCTTCCTTTTAGATTTCTTTTGTACCGCCGATCTCCCGTCAAAATAAAAGTGACGCCTGTCGTTCGTGTCGTTCGATTGATCGTACTGTTATATACAGTCCAATTTATTTACGGTTTCTATTAACATCACCGATTCGCAACAAAGTTCACGTGTCGTTCGTAACTTGGACGAAACGTTAAAGAAACGGTATCTCTAAAACGAACTGCTAGTGGCGAACGCGTTGGACGTGGTTCAAGGTATCCTTAAAGTTTAAAGTAACTTCAAACTGTGATTGGTGTTTGCCCGATACTTCTAATATTAATTAACAGTTATTCGGTACTCGTTATTTATCGCAATGGTGTGTTCTCTGTACGTGTGTGTCCGTGTATGTATATGTGTACGTGTACGTGTACGTGTACGTGTACGTGTACGCGTGTACATGCAAAAAACTGGGCGCGCTCAAACGTGCAACATCCTCCCGCGCAATTAAATACGATACATCGTGTTCGATAATAATTCGAGTGCGTGTGTTTAAATTTAATTTTCGCCCGCGGACACAGACGGAAACGTATCGGCCTCTCACTCTCTTTCTCTCACTCTCTCTCTCTCTCTTACTCTCTTACTCTGTTTCTCTAGCCGATAATCATACATTGATCTGCGCGTCGAAAATTCGCCGAGCGAATCGACGGAATGCAACGATAATCCGAGAATCCAACCGATAGCGGTCTGTCCGATAGCGAAACCCTCGAAAACGGAATCCATCAATTGCGTTCGCGTCAGCTAACATATTCTCGAGTCGAATAATATCGTGCGACACAGCGTTTTCACGAATAAATTCAATTGCACGCCGGAAGCGGTTATTCCTTTCGCGTTGTTCACGACCACACGACCATCGTGTCCCAAACACACCAACGAGGATACTACTATACTTTTACTCTGACACCCATATGTCCCGTGGTTCCTTGCTGCCCCGTTAATATCTCCGTTGATCGATGCAGCGATCAAAACCGCGCGTCGGTTCTTAATCAAACAAAGGTTCCGTGTTTCCCTTTTCTTTTTCTATTTTAAACATAAATTACATATTTACAATCGCGAAGCGGCCTTCGATAGCACCTGAAGACAGCCCCGCAATCGTCCGGCCCGTTCCGTGGATGTACACGGTGAACCTGTTCGAGCGTTCACCCGGTTCCCCGTTCGGTTCCGTTAATTGTCCGGTCACGCGGATCGTGTTCAGGGCGAGAAGAAGTCGGAACAGGCGCGAAGAATTGCGAAGCCGTCTCATAAGCTTTGGTCATTGGTTCACGACCTTTTCAGGATCGTCTCACGGTACGCGCATACCTTCTGCAAGAATCACTCTAAATTTTGTGTCGGCGGCCTTTCTCCGTTCACTCGAGACCCCGAGTCTCGCCGAATGAAATCGCAATTGTCGCTCAGCGTGTCGCAAGTAGCGCGGAAAACAATCGAACCGAAGAGAAATGAAGTTTTCCCCGTAAAACGTTTTTCTCCTTCTTTTCCGTGGATTCACCTTCGAATTTGTTGCGGCGTGTCGTTAGGATACATCGATCTTTAGAGTGACTCCATTACGCGAATAACGAAGGAGATAGATAGATAGCTTTCTTTTTTCTCTTTTCTTTTTCTTTACGATTAATTCACATCGATCTTACTTAGAACGGCGGCCGTCGGAATTTCGACGGAGTCGCGCGACAAATCTCCGAAGAGCTTCTTGGCTGAAGACAACGGTATAATTCGAATCAAGTGAACGCTCAGTTTCAAACATAATTCGCGTGCGACGATTGGCTATTAAAACATGACTTTTATTCGATAATCTGTTACAGCGACGTCTGAATTGAGAACCACTGATCTTGCCGGTATACAATGCTCGCATATTACATGTGTTTTATCGCTAGCCTCGAATCTCTCTCTCACTCTCTCTCTCTCTCTTTTTCGCTCTCTTTCTCTCTTGCCGAGTTCGCTCGTGGAATTCAATGGCGGAAATCAACAGACATCTGTTTCACGACGTTCCATCGTATTGACGAACAGAAATTCGGAGTGTGATCTCTCAAAAATTCATCCGACTCGCAAGTGCGTGCTGTTTAAAATTGTTTCCGTTAACGATGAATGCTTCTTGGACAGTCTAACATGAAGAACTAAGGATCCTGTTTCGATTAAATCAACATCGAAAAAGAAGACAATGATCTTCGAGAAAACGCAACCCTGTGCTCGCCACAGTAGTATCCAATAATCGACAGTTGCTCGATTGTTTAATAGTTAACTGCTTCGTTCGCCTTCCCTCTTTGCCATCTGGTCGGAAATCTTAAATAACTATATTTATATCATAAAGCATTTTGTATGCGTTGCACTCGCGATCGTTTGCAACTGCGTACAGCGGGTATGCTCACTTGCCGCTAGATCGAACGGTCTCCGATATAGAAAACGAGATCGATCCGAACTCACCGATACCATTGTTCGTTTCGCTATTCAATTGTTACGTTATTTGCTCATTGTTCAGCGAACATTTTGTAGCTTCCGACGCGCGAAGCGTCGAGATACCAAAATTTCAGGGCATATGCTGCGGCTCAATGTTCTTTGACGAAAATATTCAGAAAACTTTCAAAGTTACAGTGTTCGTATAGAACTTTTTGATCAAATTGGACTGAGTCGATAATTTCAACTCAGAGAATAACAGAGTACGCGGAAAACTCTGTAACGCGTAATGGCGTACGAAAGTGCTCGTGCAGTCAGAAAAATCGTAATCTATAAACGAACAACCTTATTTCAATGAATATTACATCTACCATATTCGCGCTAATATTCTATGCAACTAACTAAGCAAAAATAACGGATCTCAAAAACAACAAACACTTTCAAATAACAAAATCTCCATTGAAGATGGATTCTAATTGGAGTTCAATAAATCGTAGAATTCAAGTTTTCTCTTTTCCACATTCCTTCCTCTCAAATATCAGTCTATACGTCCACAACAAAATTATATTCGTTTAATTATCCACCTGCAAATCTCCCCTACTATTTCCTCGCCGCACGAGTACGCTCGACCGCCATTTTACACGAAAGAGGCGCGCAATTCAAACGGTTCGGACAACACAAACGTTCTACACTCGACGTGTTACTCGTCGTGTTTTCCCCGCTGAACCGCGAACTGCATATCTCAGTGCAACTAACTACAGCATCGTTCGAAAACGTGTCGCAACGCGTTGCACGCAGCGAGCCAGTTGTATCAAAATACACAGTTACTTCAGCGGGTAAAAACGCGGCGTGGAATGCGCGCGAGTGGTTTGCAGGCGAACGCCGCTGCGGCGACTGTTTTCAAAGTAACAGGACAAAGTTTCTCTGTCTACACGGATCAAAAGAAACAAATATTTTGCTATTATCAATGTATTATCTTCAAATGAAATTTCCACTTGAAGAGTGGACAATTTTGTTGCATTTCCAAATCGTCGATAGTAAAATATTGCACAAGCTTAGTAGCGAAAGTAAATAGTACGCCAAGGGGTAGTCTCGTTTAGATGTTATAATGAATGTGTGAAGTAATAAATATCATATATATAACATATTTCGAACAAATATTCCGTTCTAAACGCCGCGAATAACAAATGTACGCCAAGGGGTTAATATAGAACGACTACTGGCTTTTCTTTATCAACCCTTTGCACTCGAAAGTTTTTCACTAGAAATATTCAACCCTCTTTGATAAAGTACAGACGATGGTTGTTCGACTAATGTAAATGATTCAATCGAGTCTCTGTTCCTCGAAAACAATCGCGACATTTTCCCGTTCGTTTGCATTGTAACACGCACGGTGTAAGAAGCCTGCGTCGTCCTGACTCAGAAGCGTCAAAGTCGCACGGATTGGTGCGCATTTCGGTTTGAGGTGTAACTACGATACCGATTCGCGTGGCGCGTGCATCCGCAGTTGCATCGATCGCGGGTGGACGTGCCGCCACTCGCTTCAAGCCTAATATACATCGAGTATTAGGTTTACAAAACAGATACCCTACCTCATCATAGGGTTTCAAGGGGGTCGGTTCGGTGGTTTCATAATGGAGGAAGGATGTGGGGCTTTCGGATAGTTGGAGATGGGATTCCGAGAGAATCGATGGGCCCGGGACGTACTAACTACTCCCTTAATTTGTGCCAATCAGCGATCTGCCTCTGCGGCGAGCTGCAAACTTCTCTCCAATGGTTCAGAGCCGAGTCTTGGCAATCCGCGCCGCCGAACTCCAGCCGTCCGATCACCTGTAACGTGAAATCGATCAGTCGACGATCTGGCTCTGTTAGCGTAATTTACTGTGATTAGAGAATCTCTCAGGGAAATTTCAATCTCCTGAAATGGCTACGAGGAATGGGTTAATACTAGGTTTACGGGCATTTATTGTAGTTTATTCTATTGTTCCTGGGGAACTTGATATTCGTTCATTTAGATTTTGGAAATTGTAGATGTTGAAATAGACAGTAATTGGATCAACGAAAACCGATTGAAACATTTACCAAATAATGTTTATAAAATTCAAAGTCAAATTGACGCGTTCCGTAAACCTAGTGTTAAATAGGAATCGACGCGTAAGGATGTAAGTTGAAGATGAATGACACGTTGACTGTGGTCACTGATCGGTGCTTGTAAATTTAGTTTATTTTTACTAGAACTACCGTACCAGTCGAAATGACTGGTTCCGGTTTCCTCGTCTCGCAATTATTGATATCTCGAAAGTGTGAAATGTTTGAAATGGTTTCTAAAATAAATGGTTAACGGAGAATTCGTAAATCGCATACCTCGTTCTTTGTAACACGATCCCAGTCAAGCAACATGAATTCGAGGCTGACATTCTTCAGACCGTCCGCGCCGTTCGGAATGTCGAAAACGAAGGACTCGTTGAAAACGGGGCTGAGGGTGCGTCTCTTCACGCACGTCTTCTTCTTGGCGATGCGCTGATTGTTGTACAGAAGATAGATTTTCACGTACGGGTCCGCCAAGCCTGTCACGTCCATCTTCGGCAAATTCCGCGCCTTCAGCACGACGACCGTTAATCGGCTGGTCATCGGTTGCCAGCAAAGGGACACTAGCAGTTCTCCTCTGCCTTGCGATTGAATCTGGAAGAAAAGGTGTTGTTTTCTTCGATCTACCAACAAGCGTACTCTAAAAATCTGTATTCTCGAAAACCGAGAAAATTCTTAATATTGAATTTCTATTTAATTAAGAGTATATATATTCTTAGTTTTATAGAAATTCTTGGTCTCAAGGCTAATTTAATTGATACAGAAAACTTCCATTAGCATTAAATTCGTCAACACGTTGAAACTTCGCAGACTTAAAATCTGCAATGACTGACGGATACGAGACAAATGGATGGTTGATTTATTCAAGCATTCAACCGGGTTCTTCGTGATTGGTGAAACTGTGAAAGCTGTCATTCTACCTTTCCGTTATTTTTGTCATCCGTTATTTTCAGCGTTTCTGATATTTTCAACGTTAAAATATTCATGAATATTATTTTAGACGGTCCCTCGATCAATATCGGGTTCTCGTTCGCGGGTTGTTCCTCACCTTCAGGCTTCTGGGGCAAATTTTTCGACACAATGATATCTCCTGGTTATCAGCGTTCTCCAAACCGGATACCGACGATAGTGCGCACGTCAATTCACCGATGATATCATCTCGGGAGTATCTATCGAAGCTGAGCACTATGAAGTGCAAGCTAATTTTCTGCGAACCATAACGAAGATATTTGTTTTATCAATCATTCAAACCATTGAAATCAAGAAGAAAAGATTAATATCATTTCGATGCTGTGATAATCGGAATTTTACTCTCCTTTTCTCCCTTCGAAATGAAATATTAATATTGATCTTTATTATGTTGTTCAACAAAGTTACGTATGGCCAAATGTGAACATTTTTATAGATATTTCCCATGACATAACATGTAATTCGTAACTGAAGACAAGCCATTTTTTTTACGATATGTAATATGTAATGTTTAAAAGATTCTGGTTGTTTCATATTGCTTTGGTAATTGAAGACTTGTAGGCTTTAAAGAGCAACCTTGATTGATTGAATATAAGTTTAACCCTTTGCCTTATAACATTGAGTGGGACTCGCGATAAACTTTTAACATCGAATTCCATAAATATATGTATCATCTTTCTTCAAGTTAAAATTAATCGTCTTTCTTCTATGGGTATTTAATCTCTGTAGCAAACATAGTCATATAATGAACGTAAAACTATTTTTGTATCGAGATACCCATTTTCAAATCTTCTCTCGCGCAATTCTTTCTTCTTCTGAAAATTTCACAAGATTATGATCTAACCAATGAATCGGACAATATTGAAATTGGTATAAAATTCAATTAGCAAAATAAAACACAGAATTTGAAATCTGGCATTAGAACTACCATACCAGTCAAAACGACTGCTATCGTTTTTTTAGTTTCGCAATTATTGATACCTTAGAAGCATTGAATGTTCGAAGCGATCTTGAAAATAAATTGCTTCACTTTTATAATATTATTATATTGAATATTATATTGAAGGTTTGAAGAAACTGAAGATAATTCATTGTTACAATTTTTATCAAGATTACATATTAAGCGTATTAAATGCACGGTAGTTCTAGTGTCAAAGGAACCACCCTAAAATTATTCGATTTTCCACATCCAAATTTTGTACCAGGAAAATAAAAGATCGAAGGAATGTTATAGCATTCCTCATTTTCACTAGGAAAGTTATAAAAAATGATAGGTTACAAAACAACCTGGAGTGCTAAGGGTTAATGAGTTGTACCTGCAGCTGGTCCTTCGATATCCCGAAGAAGGTGAAGTCCTCGTCGTAGACCGGGTCTCTGGTGTTTCTAAGGACCCTCGTCTTCACCTGGTGCTGCTTGTCGGGCAGCAACTTCAGCTTGACGTAAGGGTCGCTGGTCGCGTTTTGCTCCCTCGCGGGCAAACCCTTGCAGTTGACGACGGTCACGCGCAGCGCGTTCTGCTCGCTGAGGTAGCGCAGCTTGAACATCAGCTGGCCCAGATTGTCTTTGTTGTTCTTGGTCGTGTGGTTCTTCTCGCGTTCCGTCTTCTCATTGTTCTCGATCTCCGCCTTGTCGCGCTCATTCTCGATGTTCAGAGTAACCTCGCCGGACGGCGTCTGAGCCGGTGAACCTGCCGAAAATCAAACAGATGCATTTTTCTTACTTTCTACTGCGTTTACGTTACATTATCCTTCTCTTTTGTTATTTTTTCGTTATTTTCTTTTATAGTAATTGTATGGCAATCGTGTAACTGTTATTTTATAATGAATATCAAATTGTTTTACGATGAAACACTGGTCCTCCGTCATCAGTGTTTAACCTTTAGAGTTATTTTGCTATCCATCACGGAGGAATAAATAAGGCATTTGCATTTATATTGCTTAAATCTTTATTCAACGATGTCGATCGGAAAGAACCAGTTTGCTGGTCGATCCCCGGAATATTTCAGTTCATTTTGTAATCGTAATAATAAAATTGGCATCTCAAGATGCTGCATTCTTCGACAGTATCTATTCAAAACTAACGATTCGTTTAGCAAGCTCTAGAATTTCAAAGAATCAAACATACAATCGTTGTTTACATTACAAATTACGGATCCTTCAACAATGTTCATCAAAAAGAAGCGATTCACTCCGAGATACGCCCCAGAGATACTAAGTGTACCAGTCAAAATGATCGATTTTGAAATAAATAGTCTCTCTTGAAATTATTATTAACCCTTTGCCGACGAATGTCGACACGAAATGAAATTCACCAGTTCGGGAGACCAAGTCGCAAACAAACGATTTTATCTCTCGAACAGAAATAGCTCAATGTACACTTCTCTTTTCTTCCATTGTTTAACACGTTGAATGCTACGGGGGTCACAGTTGACCCCCCAAATCGAATTACTATAGTTCACTCAACGAAACGATGATTATTTGAAAACAACATTTAGGAATAATAGAACGAAGCGTACAATAAATGCCCGTAAACCTAGCGTTAACCTTTTCGCGACGGCGCACCTGTACCATTCTTCGCTGCTTTTCGCAACAGTGGGACTGACCATACTTTGCCACTTTTCGCGACGGCGCGATTGACCTTACTTTGTCGTCGTTCGAAGCGCAAGTGAACCATACTTCGCCATCCATGTATTTACAGCTTTATTTTGAGTCCGCTATTGAAATAAAATAATATTATAAAAAAACCAATAAGCGACTGCTGTATCTAGACGGCGTGAGCCGCTGTAAAGTAATAAATGACTGCCGTACATAAGCGTCAGTCTCTGTGGACGAAAAAGTGACTGCCGTATATACACGGCACCTTGTCGCGAAAGGGTTAAATCTTTTACAGAGGCACGCTCGTAGCTGATAGCTCCTATTAAAACTGTTTCTGAGTTGCTGAAAGGTTATATTAACACGTTAAGTGGTTTCCCGTAGAGTTTTTCTATAGTAGCAAAGAAAAGCAGGAACAATTATTAATTATTTGACCTTACAATGTTTGCACAACGCTATCATCAACATAATTACGTTACTAAACATTATCATATCACATCGGTTATCTTATACGTTACGATTGTTTTCCAGTCATTCAGAAGCGTCAGTCACCTATGACTGACATGGCGCTTAACGTGTTCAAAATTGTTCGGAGTGCAAAGGGTTAAAATTCCCGAGGAACAAGGGAGAGGCCTCGAACGGGCACCCTCTCGCGCCGCGCTGTCCTGCCGACAGCGAAAGCAACCCCGTCGCGAGAGGGTTAAATCTTTTGCAGAGGCACGCTCGTAGCTCGTGTTAAAACCGTTTCGGAGTTGCTGAAAGGTCATATTAAAAATTGTTCGGAGTGCGAAGGGTTAATTCCCGAGGAACAAGGGAGAGGCCTCGAACGAGCACCCTCTCGCGTCGCGCTGTTCTGCCGACAGCGAGAGTAACCCCGTCGCGAGAGGGTGAACGGGATCGGTATGCTCACCTGCACCTTGAGGTGTCCTGGGCTGGGAGTAAGGGTTCGACGCCTGCGACCCGGTCGGGCTGGGCGTCTGTCCGGCGGAGCCAGGCGGGCTCTTGGCCGGTTCCGTCGGGCTCGGACTCTTCTTCAGGTAGTGGCTGGTGCTGCCCGGGCTCTTCACCGCCCTCGGCTTCCTATGCGGCGGTCTGAACGCCAAAGACTTGTCGGAATTCAGTTTGGTGTGCTCGCGACGCCGTCGGCAAAGCCACCAGGTCATCGCGACGGCGCAAAGTAGAAAAGCGGCGCCGATGCATAGCGCGACCACCGTCGTCGTCGACACTGCAATTACGTGGATTCCTTGTTTATCCCTCGGCTTTCTTGGAAAATCCGCCGCGCGACGAGTCGACCGGGTTCGAATCGATGGGAACGGAACGCGACGACGGGGACCGTCCGCGCCTGGTTACACGCTACAGAGATGCAGCCGCGATGAATTTTTTATTCCCTGGCGGACCGTTCCATCCGAGAGAATGACTCACTCGCGCCGGGCGAGGATTCGAAGGAAAGACCGTGAAATCGTGAATAATCGGCTGACAACGAGCACGTTGATCGACGATTATTCCTCGATGGAAACGCGCAGATTCGACCGCAGGGGGTACGAGGGTTGATCGCGACGCGATTGCACAATGTGACTTTGTCGAGCGAGGCTTCCAACCTTGATGCAGCGCGTCTGATTTAACGCGCGTCCCGGTGAAACGGGATTCTACGGAAACCTGACTGCCTAATAAAGCATTCCATTCCCGTTCGTACTCGATAGAACGTCGAAATACAGGCATGCTTCGGTCGCCCGTGCTAACACACCCAAGAAAGTTTCTCGCAATCGGTTGATCAAACTACCAGAGAACGAAGTAGAAACGCGACGAACACTCTCGCAACGAGCCGAAAATCACGCAACGTCCAGAACCACCACATGGTCCGCGGGGTGTTCGGTACCGATCCGCGGGGCTATCACTATATACACCAGCGTTGACTCATCCACTACAGTCCCGGCGAAGCTCTACAATGACTGCATCGAATGAGCCTGCGACGGTCTAGCTACCGTCGAGCGGAACAACCTGCGGCGAGAAATGCTCCGAGAGAGCAAGGGGAACACCCCGATCAGGGTGACCATGGGCATGGTAACAGCTGTCCTCCGTGGATCGGTAAAAGCGCCATAATCCCGATCCGGCCCCGATCTCGAACTCCGGAGAGCAACGTCGCCCGTGGAATCGCGCGAGCGGGTCCCAGAATGCGTCCGTTGGCGAGCATCCTGGGACCCGGGCAGGCGACACGCAGGGAAAGGGTGGAAAAGGGTGGAAAACGGAGAAATGGCTGGACCCGGGGGCAACCGGGAAGGCAGACTCACCGGAATCGACGGGTCGAATAAGGGGTCCATCCTCCGTCGCTCCTCCGACCATGTTCGGCCACGTTTTTCCACGTATTTGAACAGTTTTTATCCGCGTAAGTCACTCGGCCACGGCGCACTGAACGAATATTTACGGTGTGCGGACCGTTCGTGGTGGTATTCTGAGGCGACCATCGGACGAAATGCCTCGGATCAATAGTAACGGGCTGGGCTTGCGCGGAATGAACCGTGTCCAGAAAGGAACCGAGCCACGACGACGAGGACGACGTCGACTCAGGCGACGCCAGAAACAATGCCGCTCGCCGCCGCCGCCGCCGACGCCGACGCCGACGCCGACGCGGGGCGCAGGGAAGGGCCGTTTTCCTGCAGGTAACGAAGGATCTCGGCGCAGGTGACGATGCACTCCGGGGAAGACCGCGAATCGATGCGACATCGATTCGCCGTGCGACGCACGGGCGAAACCCTTGGCTGCCGTGCCAAAACCACCCCCGGAGCGGAATAACGTGACGTCGCTCGGCCGCGCGGCGTGGATCATCGCGGAATGGACTCGACGCACACTGTGCGGCCGGATGGCAGTTTCTTCGACGGAACTCGATGATTCGACAGGTATCGATGCTGGAGACGAATGCTTCGGAGGGAAGTTGTAGGGTGTACAGTTAAGCATGGTGGTTAGATTTTTGTTTGTGTTTTGGAGGTTTCTCGATGACAGTGGGTTCTTCGCGTTTCGGTTTCGACGTAGAAATGGAGAAATAGATTTGTTTGCTGGAAATTTGTATGGTTCGAATGGAAATCGTTTTATAGAGTACGCATTAGTTAGCTGTATGTTGTAATCTTCGATTATTGTTCGAGTTTTTCATGTCCAATTTTCGGGCGCGACGCGAGATTCTTTCCGATGCACGCTGAACGAAGATCGATGGAGTTTCTCGTGAGAACTGTATCTCATTATATAATACGGTAGTGTTGGTAGAGCGAGATTAGGGTAGTTTGATGGTGTTTCCGGAGGTTCTGAGATTATCTACGTTAAAGTAGCTTGATCGTGGCAGTAATCCTCGGCGAGAGGTGCACGGAGTGCAGAATTTATCGACGATTTTTCTGGCACTTCTGGTTATTGGGAGGAATGTTCTAGAGAAAAGCTAATCAATCTTTGGGTTGACTTTCGATGAGAGAAATTATTTTTTGGGAGGTTTATTTTATTGAATAAAAATCTGTATTTTATTAAAATATTGAGAAAAAATTTATATAGTCTTAATTCATTCAAATATATATAGTTATTAGATAACGTCAAATAATGTGCGTTACGACTTTTGATGCAAATATGGACAATATTATTATATATTTATAATAATAATAATAATATTGTCTGTGTATATATATATATAAAATTGCGTATCATTTATGTGAGTGTGTAAAAAATACGAAATGTTAGTGTATTAGGAAGAAATATTGAAATGCATTGAAATTCATTTGACTTCCATCGCTTAAAATATTAGATCGCAATCATCGAGAAGATATTACACGAATTTATAGGGAATGTAAGATTTATTTTTCGGTTGGGAATTTATGGAAAGTGATTCTTGAGAGGATGTTCATCCGAGCAATCATCAGATGAGAGATCGAATGAAAAGGAACGTTAAATTCATTTGGCTTTTCTCACGTGAAATATGAAGTGGCAGTCGTTATAAATATGTGAAACTGGCAACGGGCGTGTTAATTGGTTTGGAAAGTGTCGAGAGATTTCCCTTTTCATTCATTTCAATTAGAAGAACGCCGAACATGATGTTTCAGTTATTCGGGGAAAATTGGAAATAGCTTCGGATAAAATCAATTAAGCAGAATATTTTTTCCTCTTTACTTGGTGTATTATTTTTTTTGGTAAGTTATCGATTAATTGTATCCTATTTATACCTTAGGTTCGTGTATAACTCGTTTACAGTGAAGGAACTTTTAAAATGTTTAATTACTGCTCTCCACGTTTCGTTGGCACGTTTAATTAATAAATTCTACGCGTGTTCGCAAACCGAAGTTCGTATCAACTCTCGCGTATAATTAAAATAATTTTTGAAGCAGCAGTTTGTTTGCATTTTGTAATAGTAATAATAAACAGTCAACATTCGATAGTGCAAATGATTGTTCATTTCAGACATTTGCAGATGCATTTTATAGATAAATGTTTGAATTCTACTTTTTAGAAATGTGCAGAAAAAAGATTGATTTTTCAAACTTCTACGGTAGAATGCCGTCTGAGGTGACCTAAATTTAACATCCGGTTTCCATGCGACGTGTGCTGGTACTTTTTAAAAATTAATATTAAATTAATTCCTCGCAAATTATTCCTGTTTCAGATCTCTTCATACAGATTTCGAAACGAATATTTTTAATTGCTCGTTGTGGAACGGTGGAAAATGTCTTCGTTAAATATTTTGAAAGAAAATTTAAGAATATCTGTAGAATTTTATGCAATTGTTTGAAAGAAAATTTAGAATACCTGTAGAATTTTATGCAACTGTTTGAAAGAAAATTTAGGAATGCCTGTAAAATTTTATGCAATTGTTTGAAAGAAAATTCAGAAATGCCTGTAGAATTTTATGCAACTGTTTGAAAGAAAAAGAAAATTCACACGAAGTTTAGTATGTTTATTTCACTCCAATATGATCGTCAGTAAAAAATACATGTTTTACTGAATTATAAAGCATTTATAAAATTATTTATGACATACATTTACAGTCTATTTACGACATTCGTATAAGTATTGATTTTGATTACATGGTATTGATATTTAATTCCACTTAATTCATTCAAACGTTCAAAATACATTTCAGTTGAACGTATTTCGAAGTGTAAAATTAATTCCACCAGGACATGTTCGTATTTTGTGTTTCAAAGACACGTGCAACGATATTCGGGACGACTATAAATTCCCGTAAAATATTGCCCACTCAAATGCGACATGCCTTATGTGCATCCCTTGAATTTTTCATCCGATTTGCTGTTACGAAATTTATAAATCGAACTGCATTCATGGTTTCATCAATATTTATATCACGTTAGAAAGATTAAAGAATGTTGTACGAAGATTAACATTATAATTAGAAACTATTCATATCATATTCACCTTACAAAATTACCCAAAATTACTCGCGAAAGTTTTCAAAGATTAACAGAACGCAACGAGAAAGTTAAAGAAAGATACGTGCACTTTGAAATTATTTTTACTTCCTGGAAATTCTTGCTGTAAAGAATATAACACAGCTTAACCTTTTTTTTCCTTAAGTATTTATATAAAAACCGGTATTTGCAGAAATATCCGTGATCCGTTTATAAATATCGCAGGCGTTAATCGAACCAATCTCAATTGATCGAATTGTAAAGAATAGCGTTCAAGAGCAATTTTTTCTATGCATTACATATCGTTCGGAAATCAACTGAATTTTCGAACACGTGTACAGTCGTGTTTAACGCTAGAACTACCTATAAAAATTGTAACAATAGATGAAATGAAACTATTTATTCTCATAATCATTTCAAATATTCAATTTCCAAGTTTTCAAGTTTTCCAGCTTTCCAATTAAGAATGTTCAAATTCTCGAAGATTAATATTTTCGAGGTTCAAGGGTTCGTAGGTTCAAAGTTTCAAATTTTCAAATTTTCAAATTTTCAAGTTTCCTAGTTTTCTAGTTTTCAAGTTTTCCAGTTTTTCAATTAAGAATGTTCAATGCTTCGAAGATTAATATTTTCGAGGTTCATACGTTCAAGGTTTCAAACCTTCAAACTTTCAAGTTTTCAAGTTTTCAAACTTTCAAGTTTTCAAGTTTTCAAGTTTTCCAATAAAGAATGTTCAATGCTTCGAAGATATCAATAATTGTTAAACAAAAAAATCGAAACCAGTCATTGTGACTGTTACGGTGGTTCTAGCATTAAAATAGAAGCTTCCGTTTTGCCTGCTAAATATATAACTTAGCCGCGGTTGTACCGATTGTATGTATATTATGAAAATAAGGTGTAAACGAACTCGGACGGAGCTCGAAGTTTAAAGTAAATAACGTTGCGATTGTTGATCCGCGTTCTGTTTGCTCGCCGAAACAGACGTTTCTGACCCTACTTTCTCGCGTACGAGTTGAGTCCAGCCGAACCATTAATATGTGGCGTCTTCGTCAATTACATCATCGCTATCTGCCCGTTATCCGCGATGACGTCACGTTACGCGGAATAACGCATGCGTGTATTATCCGTGAATATCGCCACGGACATATACGCGAAAACGTGACTTTCCTAAGCGCATGTTTACCTATGCTTAACCAATGAGGTCGCCAGGAGTTGTTACGTCACCGTCGGTGGAATACGATTCTACAGGACACTTCACAAGAGATGGCTTTCGGGCTACGAGTCATTCGAATGGTATCCGTAATTGAGATTGTTCGAATTCTTGAACATTAATATTTTCGAGGTTCAAAGTTTTAAATTTTTTAGTTTTCTAATTTTCTAATTTTTTAGTTTTCTAATTTTCTAATTTTCTAATTTTCTAATTTTCTAATTTTCTAATTTTCTAATTTTCAAGTTTTCAAGTTTTCCAGTTTCCCAATTAAGAATGTTCCAATTCTCGAAGACTAATATTTTCGGGATTCAAGGGTTCGTAGATTCAAAGTTTCAATTTTTCCAGTTGCCTAGTTTTCAAATTTTCTAGTTTTTTAATCTTCAAGTAGTCAAGTTTTCCAATTTTCTAGTTTTCCAGTTTCCCAATTAAGAACGTTCAAATTCTCGAAGACTAATATTTTCGAGGTTCAAGGGTTCCTAGGTTCAAAGTTCCAAACTTTCAAGTCTTCCAGTTGCCTAATTTTCAAATTCTAAGTTTTCTAATCTCCAAGTCCTCAAGTTTCCCAATTTCCTAACTTTCCAGTTCTCTCAGTTCCCAATTTCTCCACTCGTGAAAATCCCATAGTTCCAAACTTTCGCCACATGATCCAACGTCCCAAGTGACCATTCACGTCATCAGATTCCTCGGTAGAACAATCATTTCCAAGAACAAAACGCATCCCTGTATCCGATCCAAAATCAATACAACTCCACCAGAGTACCACCGCAATCCACTAAAACAATTCAAATGACTTTTCCCATTTCATATATTTCCGCAGGAAATCGTGCGTCATCGAACGCCATAAAATACGAAACTTGTCAGCCCGAGAATCCTCCCTTCGTCGATCGCGTCTGCGGCGGGTGACGCATTCCTGGAACGATCTGTAGCAGCGTTCTCTCCCCCGTGCGCTCCGTCAGCTGGTATCTGCGCAGAAGACAAATATCGAGTAGTAGCATGGACTCGTAAGCGCACGATCAGACCGGCTTTTACGAGCGGCTCGATATAGCCGCACCGTGTGGTTTCGCGTGAAACGAAACGGCGACGGTGACCGTACGCGTGTGCTGTAAACGTCTTCCATTCTCTCCGCCTTCTCCTCTCTCTCTTGCTCTCTTGCCCGGCGAGTCGAACGAGCGAAAGAATTAATTAAAAAAAGGGAAGCCACCAAAGAAGAAGAAGAAGAAGAAGAAGAAGAAGTAGAAGACCGTGCACCGAATAAGTGGATCGAACCAGCGTTCCGTGCCGGCGCAGAGACCATGGGGCTCAAGGATTTCCGGATAATCTTCGACAATCCTTGGAACACCTATTATCCAGGGCAGACGGTCAGCGGAAACATTATCGTCGTTCTGGACAGCACGAAGAAGGTCCGCGGTACGTCGCGCTCAAATTATTCCGAGTATGCCGAGTGAATCATGTGGAGCCCGCAGGAGTTTGTTCTAACGGGTTCAGAGCGTTTTTGCGCACGTTTCTCGCTGATATACCGTGTGACAGGTGTCCATTCGGGTGGACTGATGGAAATGACATCTGCTTTGGCAATTGGGAGATTGATTTGATTGAGTATTTGGAATTCTTTAGACCTTCGATTACGTATGGACTCAATTTTCGATGTTTGGAGTATAGTTCTGGGTATATCGGATTTTTCGAGCACGTTTTCCTACGTTTCTTCTCCTTTTTCATGTAGCTAGATTGTTAGCGTGCTATTAAATTCGATGATGGTTCTACTGTCATGGTTTTTCCTGGGATTTTAATACTAGATTCACGGAACCCGTTGATTTGACGGATACTAATGTGATGAACATTGTTTAATAGTTTCAGTCGACTTTGATTCGTGCAGTTATGCGAATACACATTGTAGTACTCTAATTTTGAAGCTACAATTTTCGCGATCTAGATCTAGATTTCTAAAATCAAACTAAAGTGTAGAATTATCGTTCGTAAATCTAGTGTTAATATTGAGAATATAGGTGATCTATGGGTGCTGGAAGGGTTGCTTTGAGTTATGATTAATTAAAGTATTGTCAAAATAAACTTCAAGCATTGTTTTATGAGATTGAGCATCACGAGGACGGTTCAGGAATAGTTTTGAGATTTTCCGATGAGATGAGTTTTTTCGTGGAAAGCCATGGGTGTTCCATCGAAGCGTTTCCTGATTTCGAAACCACTGCTTCGAGTTATGATTAATTAAAGTATTGTTATAAAAAACTGAAAGCATTGTTTTATGAGATTGAGCATCACGAAGATGGTTCAGGAATATTTTTGAGATTTTCTGATGAGATGAGTTTTCTTTCATGAAAAGCCATTCGATTGAAGCGTTTCCTGATTTCAAAATCATTGCTTTGAGTTATGAGATTAATTAAAGTATTGTTATAAATAACTGAAAGCATTGTTGTATGAGATTGAGCATCACGAGGATGGTTTAACAATAATTTTGAGATTTTCTGATAGGATGAAGGTGTTTTCTTTCGTGGAAAGCCATGGGTGTTCCATCGAAGCGTGTTTCCCGACGTCGAAACCGTGAAACGCGGCCATTGACGAGCGGCGAGATTTATGAATATTCTATTTCGAGTTTCGCTCTAATTTGTAAGTGACATACGATGCACATCTCGGGACTGCTGTCACCGCGACGCAGCGGTGATTCTTTTTTCCTCGCTCGTTTCCCACGAGGTGCAGTTTAATTATAGCCTCGACCATGCACACCCGCATAGTGGAAACGGACACCGATGATCAGCCGCGAGACATTTGTTTGTGTCCGTTACACATTGTTCTCGATATATTGCCCGTTGCTCTCCTCTGTACTGCGATTCTTCCTCCGGCGATGCCCGACTTGACGCTTATGTAATCTAATTTACCTCTGGAACACTCTTAACACTAGCTTCACGGACGTTTATTGTCCGGTTTATTCTATTGTTCCTAGAAAAATTGATGTTCGACCATTTAGATGTTGGAAATTCGGGATTTAAAATTAGGTTATTACGATACGTGTTCTTGTAACTGCATCAACCAAAACCGACATATATGTTTGTTAAGTAATGTTTATAAAATTCAGTATGCGTCAAATTGACGCACTCCGTAAACCTAGTGTTAATAGGATTTTTGATTATTAATATTCAATTATTATGCGACGATAACGAAGACGTTCAATGTCATTAAAAGGACATTGGTAACTTGGAAATTTTGTGAACTTTCATGTTCACAACCGTGTTGTCTTTTTCAAACCAAGTAATCTTCTTGTCTTACGAGTTTTCTATTATCAGAAACAAACGAGTTATTTATTATGCACACAAGTTGTTCAGAAACTTGCAACATACAAACTACAATGAAATATACAACACTTAGTTTACAAAAATGTCATTTATATCTCGTAAAAATAAATTGAATGTTTCTAGTGACAAATTTTTCAAGTGCAAAAGGTTAAAACGATATATTCCTCGAGATTCGAGGAGCCTATTAGTCTTGTATCTGTACAAATGTATAAATTTAATTCATAATCTTTCGCGAGATCTATCAATCTATCGCGAGTGCAAAGGGTGAACCATGAATCCGCGTCACCACGCGTGGTCGTTCTTGTCATTCACAGGAGAAATTTACATTGCAATATTCCCGCAGGGATCAGCGTGAAAGTGAAGGGTTTCGCGAATACCTGTTGGACGACGGACAAGCAGGAAATGGACGAGAGAGGACAGTACAGAGAAGGAACCGAAACGGTCACAGCCCACGAGGACTATTTCGAAACGAAATATTATCTAGTCGGATCGTCTTCGGGTAAGATTCTCCTCCGAAGTTATTCTATTTAGCGAAACGATCCTCTAACGATTCGTTCGTTTCTCGCGCAGGCACCGAGATCGAGGTACAAAGCGGGGAACACAAGTTCCCGTTTCAGTGCGCTCTACCCACGAATATTCCGAGCAGTTTCGAGTCTGATTTCGGACACGTTCGGTACATCGTCAAGGCAACGTTGGACCGCCCCTGGAAATTCGATCAAGAAGTGAAGAGTCCCTTCACCGTGATACAACCGCTCGACCTTAACCAAGAGCCCAGGGCTTCGGTGCGTTTGCTGCTTTCTTTATTATCTTCGAATATTAATAACCTGTTGTCTTAAGAGGATGTTGATATTAATAGTCCGAGTCATCTCGGAGCTATTTAATTCAATGTTCTATAATGGAGGTTTTTCTAGTATTTTTATTAGAAGCTCTAGATATTTTTAGTAAAAGGTTTTTCTAATATTATAGAATATATTATAGAATAATATTTTGTTTCATGGAACATTGAGATTATAGAAATAAGTTTCTAGTATTTTGCATTGGATAAGAATTTATCTTGTTTATTATTAGCAGTTATTATCAGTGTTTCTATTACACTATTTTACTTGAAATCATAATATAACAAACATAGAATATATTGGAGAATAATTATGACACGTTGATCACTGGAACACAGAATATTGTTCAAAATTCTATTTTTATGATTTACCTTGTTAAAACGAGAGCAAGAGAAAAATGTCACCATCTAAGACGTTCCTTACAGCAACGATAAAATGAATAATCAAAATTTTTCAAATTATTAATCATTAGAATGACTGATCAGAGGGAATGAAAGTTACCAACCGTCCAAATCTTTCTACCCAATAACGATAAAATGAATAATCAAAACTTTTCAAATTATTAATCATTAGAATCCCACACAATTCTAATTTCGAACTGTTTCTACCCAGGAAAAGGTCCAAGAAGAAATGAGCAAAACGTTCTGCTGTCTATGCTGCGGCACGCCGCCGTTGACTGTTAATTATTCGTTGCCCGTGAGAGGCTACGTACCGGGGCAGTCGATGCCGATCAAGATAAACGTCGAAAACGCGTCCGGAGTCACGGTGGAAACGGTGAAGCTCATTCTCACCAAGGTATACGGAAGTTGCATCGTTTCTCGATGAGAAACACTCGGCCGGCGCACGAGGCGTCTGATAATAATAATGAATCGTGAAGTCTAGATCGTAACCTTCCGCGCGAACACGCCGAGCGTCGATACGAGAACGGAGGAGATCGTGGTAGCGGAAGTTGGCAAAGGTCCCGTCGAGGGCGGAGGAACAGCCGACTACGAGCAGAATCTTGAAGTTCCCCCGCTGCCGCCGTCGAATCTCACGAATTGCGGGATCATCGACTTGGAGTACAACCTCAAGGTTGTCGCTTGTGTATCAGGATGGTTCGTACAGAATAGAAATCATATTTTATGCGAGGCACTTCGCGGATACAGGCTGTGGGGCTGGGTAAATTAATGTAGATTTATATCAAATGTCGAAATGTTCTTATGAGTTTGTATAAAGTTACGTTAGTATCAAAATTTTCTGAGGGAGACGGCCATGTTTTCGTTGGGACAGGTTCAATGGAAGCTTAAAGAATTGCCAGATTTGATTTATAAATGAATGTAAATTTATATCAAATATCTATGTCGAAATGTTCTTATGAGTTTGTATAACACTAGAACTACCGAGGATTTAATACGACTGATGTGTAATCCCTATAAAAATTCTAACAATAGATTATTTTCGGTTTCTATAGAGGATTGACGTAACTGAAATAGCAATTAAACGGAACACGAGATGAACGAAATACGTAATTGTGTTTCAGGTATCACAGAAATTTATCTAACAGCACTGTCATATTCGTGGGCACCGTGCCGTTAGTGAATTATCAGACTCCATCGGCGCCACCGATGGAAGCAGCATCGCCAGCAATCGGATGGACACCACCGGAAGGAATTCCAACGGCGAATTTGTATCCGAATCTGCGTACGAACTAAAATATTTCCCAATATTACTCAATTGTTAACCCTTTGCACTCGGAAGTTTCTCAGTGGAAATATTTACCATTTTTTTACAATATTTTACAATATTACAATATTTCACGTATCGAGGCATTATACAAAGTTCAACATTAACCTTTTACGGACGAAGATTCTCTAAAGTATACAAAACCTGTAGATTCTGCCAAATCACACATCGAATTCGTGAATAATATAGGATAAGGAAATTATGTACTGGTTTCTTGCTGTTTGAATAGTGGAATCATTTGTTTGCAACTTTTAACAATTAAGATATACAGCATAAATTATAATCTAAGAAATAATAATGTTTGCATTGTAACTTTTCAGCTCCTCCGACGTACACCGAGTCGGACAAAGGCGCGAGGAGTCTATGGGAACGCGGCGAGTCCGAGCACGTGTTCGGCATATCGAATCATTTCGCACCGAAATATCCTGTCTACAATTTCGCGCCGGTCCAATGAGCAACGAAGCGAAACGCTTGGTGACTTCATCGGAAGAAAAAGAATTGTTTGCTTCGCAACGCTGCCTACAAAGCACATTCTGAAAGCTTCACAACGAAGTTCACAGTCTGCAACCGCTGCGAACATTTCGAAGCTGACAGAGTCAATTATAACTACCAATGCAAACTTTTGGAAATCAGAAACTTAATCATGTTATTTCTACACTGATACTTATGATATATGACGCGAACTTTTATGAGCTACTTTACACTAACTCGAATGAAAGTTTGCTCGATTTATTGAGCTTTCTACTCTAACGAGAATAGAAACCTCAATAGTCTTAGAACAAATTAGAAATTTCACAAAGTATCTCTGGACAGATTGTTTCACTGTGATTTTCAAGTGTGAATTAAATCTGCGGTCCTAGAAAAATGTCTTGAAGAGTTTGCTGGGAAATACGTTTACTTATTTTCGCGGAAGTTATAGTTCGAGTAATTTTATTAACGATACGCGAGTGATTTTATTGTAAGTATAATATCGAAGATGTTTAAGGTACACGGAAGAAATTTCGAGACTAGTCGAGTATTCGTTTATGGAACTTACGTGCCTAGGAAGCAATAGAAGTACATGTTTGAGTACACTGAAGGATTTACACTGAAGACGCACAATTTAGAAATACTCAATGATGCAAACGATGAAAGTATTGGAGCTTTTACGGTTTTTCAGGAACGCAAAGTGTATTTTTCTACGAGGACATTGAGCGCCGGCCCCGCAATAATGCGGATTTCTGGATTTCCATTTCTGGATTTTACGAATATGCAATTAAAATGTACTATCTTACGAAAGTGTATAATGTTTTGAATATTTTTTTTGGCTGCTCATTGATCAGATACAAGCGAATGATGTTTCTTAAATCCCCGGTGCTCAATGTGCTAATTGACTTTACAATGTCGTTGTTTGAACACGCTCTTTTACGAGGATTTCGTTTGATCTACATTTTTATACGTGTATGTAATTACGTAGTAATTATCTGTATGCGGGTGCGGTACTCGACAAAGGAAAAGGAATTTAAACGCGACTGCGAGATCTGCCTTTATATTTACCATGTTGTGAATAAAATATATGTCTTTCGTATAATTGAGGTCCTTTAATTTCGTTCGATGTTAGTGTTACATTGTCGTTATCATTTGTTTGTCTCCATAGCTTTATTACTCACACGCTGAATAAAATGAGAAATAAATTTCAGCAATCGATAAATTCAATTTTCCATGTATACGTCTTTTGTGTATGAAATTGTAATGAAAAACGGCCAATTTGTTATTATATTAATTAATTACTCTTATTTTCATTCATATCATCAATGATTGACACTATCGATCTTTAAGAAAATAAACACTGTCAACTGGCGCCGTCTACATTGTCATAAGAGTAGAATGTACTTTTTCCCGAGAATATTGATGACACCGAGTAAGTTATATAATTATTTTATTTACTTCCCACAACGCATGACTAACTATATTTATTTGTGATAAACAATATACTCATCTTTGTTACGTAACTTCACATTTCACGACATAATCTAATTCAGCTCTTCTATATCTAAAAAAAATCATTAAAAATTTGTCAATATTTTTATTTCTTTTTTTCTTGGAATGCATGTTTTATGTTTTAAACAGACCGTTATATAGATATACCGTGTTTCTATAAAAGAAAATGATATCTTATCAAAATTTGGGGCACTCCTTATCTACAGCGGTTAAAGTAGTTGCTTTACTCCTGAAAAAATATCTACACATTCTTAAATATATATATTTTTCAACTACATATTAATTCTAACTTAAATATATTCACAATCATTGATCAAGATACTCAAAATCCTCCTTAACAATGCAAATTTCCAAAATAGAATGCTCGTTAATCATTTCACAGAAACTTGATCATAAAAATCAGTTCGTAACGAATACAATCAATATAAAATCAGTTGCACGTCATTTCCATTATTCTTCCTACTATACACATCTACTCATTCATCGAAGCTCACATTAAACGAATCATTAATCATCAATTAGAATGAAAATTAAATATTACCCAATGTCTTCTTAAAAATCCGTTCAGGTCGCCAAGGAATAAACTCCGACCCCAGGTAACCATCATCGTGAAATCACTGGATTACCCGCCAAGACGCTCGCCTGATAAAAAAACGTCATTCTGTCCACTGTTCCATCGATTCCGTGGGTTACCGTGGAACGGGAAATTTTTCAACACACTGTACGCCGGCTAAATTTCAGCTACTAAAAACGCGAGCGTCGACGATTATGTTGATACATTTTTAAACATCGATCAAACCGAAATTTCTAACTTACGGAAAAGAATAAGGTATTCGATTTTGTAATTTTACTTTGGATTTGCGTTGTACATATCCAAAATGTTAAGTTACCGTAGGATTAGCAATTAAACGACAGGGGCAATTCAGCAATTAAATCGCGGGGCCGGCGCGCAATGTGTTAAACGTAGAGAATATAATAAATGCACGGAATTCCGTTTAGTCACGGCGTCGTGGGCGTTCAAGGTGTTTATTGATTCGCGTTGATCACATTCCGCGGAAAGATCGCCGCCGATAAGTTCGCCTTATCGGGAACCATTTCGCTATCCACGGTGCAGGCTATCGCGGCTTCGCATCTTGACATCGCGCGACTCGATTCCGTGCCGCCCCGTTGCCATTTTTATCAACGGCGATCTTTTCATCGGCGGAACACATCGGATCGGCCGGTGATTCCATCTGATTTCAGTGTTTTCCAAAGAATTTTCACTCGCGAATCGATCGCAACCTCGGCTGTTGCACGCGAACGCGGCACACGCGTGTCGCGCTTCTTTTTTTCATCGTTGTCAACCCTAACCCTGGAACTGACTGGCTTCCATCCCTTTCGCGGGAGTCACGGAAGTGCATTTATCGAAATTTCGACTGACTCGCTTCTTACAAGGACGTGGAAGTCTATTTTTTAATGAAAAAAAGTTTTTTTAATCGAAAAAAAGGATGTTTTTTAATGAAACTCTAGCATATTGCAGTAGTTATCTGGAAATGAAAAGTCCTTGTGGCTATTTTCTTGATAATGGTCCTCTGTTTTTAGTAAAATGAATTTTAAGTTTGTATGGCACTGTAATCAGACGATTAGAAGCCTACGACAAGGTTTCTTCGTTTTCTTTTAAATAATAATCTCTAAATAATGCATTTTATTATTGTAATATTGTTTACCGTCTCATTACAGTAACATACCAACTTAAAACTCACTCATTGTCAAAAAGCCACGAGGATTTTCCATTTCTAGATATGTACTAATATATGCATAGGGTATCAAAGGCAGATTTTTCAATGAAATCTACATGTTATTTATTTAGTTTTCATATAGATGAAACATTACTGGTCTATCACTGGTTAATCATGTACTTCGATATTAAAGAAAAAGAAATTTGCACAATATAAATCACAACCGCAGATGGACAGTGCGCATTTACTGATAAAGCTTGAGGGAAAGCGAAAGTAAATAAATAAATGAGGTAAGTTCTTCCCTTTCTCAACGAATGTATCAACGATAAAGTAATTCCACCGAATACAGGGTTGCAAAAGAGATCATAGGACAACGGGCTAATCGTAAGCCGCGAGAAGGGAAACGGGAATGAATGAAAATTCAAAGCGTTCTCACGGACGTTCTATAGAGTAGCGAAGGGTTAACAAGGCTTGTCCCGCGATTGTCAGCTTGTCGAATGTTCCGCCGAAAAAGAAACAAGGTCGTGGTTCGCGGGGAACAAAAATGGCAGGGTGCAATTATATTTCCGCGCGTGCGAGGGCGTACGCGTGTCGCGCGGGCACGCCAGTCAGACAAATGGGACTTTAAATGTCAGCCGAGTTTATTGTACACTCGGACGCGACGTTTCACGAAATGTCGCTTTTAATTGGGACAAGTTTGCCATTTTATAATTAAACATTCCTCCGGTTCAGCGAACCCGCTGTGTCCGTTCCCGTGAACGCTAATTCAAGTTGACGCGTTTCATGTTTGGAAGTTATAGATTTCGCCGGGGCTAGAACAGGGCGCGGCAATAATTACCTTTGACGATAGCGATCGCTGTACCTTCGATAATAGTAATTATCGCATCGCACGACGAAATGTGTTTAATATCATTTTCCTCCCTTTGGCATCCGCGTAGCGAGCTTAACATTGTAACACGCATGATTTAATTACAGAGAGCAATTTAGACGTTGCTCATTAATTCCAATTCAACGATATTCTAAGGAAATTACTTCGAGTTTCAATGGCGGAGCAGTCAATTTCTTTTCCGTAACAGTTGTAAACTGATCGATGTTTCATTCTCGTCGCTGAATGCCGTGTCATATACACTTTTAATGGTGACTCCGTTCCATTGTTTCCCCCGTTATTTCAATGATTATTTGAACGAACACTTTACCATTCATTCGCTGGAAAATGAAGATTGCAAAACCGATTTCACCGGTGTTCCTTTAATTTCGCAGGAGCGAGTACCTCGAGTAAACGAACCTTTCGAGAATACAGCCCCGCTCGTTCATTAATAATGTCATTTGGCACGTGTCATTGAAAATACAGCTACGTGTCACGTTTATTCGGGCATTTACGATTCCAAGATTAACGGAGGTATAGTAAAATGAAAGCGTTGGAACTTACTACCGACGCAGTCACCTAAGGTTGATCGATCACGTGGAAGTATCACTGGGACGATTTCTCGTCCTTGAGTGTATGAAATGAAATATTCGTGGACTATGATCTAACTTTTGTGCGGATGTTCAACTAGCAAGGGTAGTATGGATCGCGAGGAAGGTAGGCCGCCGTTCGTTTCAGGAATTTCGTCATGGAGTCGTCATCGGAGTCAGGTGTTATAGCCGCTGAAAGAACCATTGCGTGTGCCACACGTGTCTCTTAATCGTAATGCGAGCGAAATTGAACGCTCGTGGAACGCGAGGCGTTCAGAATCAAGTCGCCGGTCCGCTGAGAACATTCTCGAAAATCTCTGAACCTGATCATCAATGATGTATGATTTCAGCATAATGTCTTAGTAAATGTATGTACCTACACGAATGCATCTGCTAACGCGTCGAAAAATACGAATTTCGCGAAGACAACGACGACTTACTTCCTGCCGTTGTTTCCATTTTTTTTCGTTTGATTACGCTGCATCTATAGCGCGCATTTCTCTTTTATCAGGTTGACACTAGTGGTTCGCTTTAGATGATAATGGTGGGAATTACAGCGTGCGCATTTGTACAGTCTCGTTTGTGACAATGCTTATAAGCGGACTTAGTTTAGTTCTATTTTCAAGTTATTCATGATGAGAGTCGAAACGAAACGAGTACAGCGGAGCATGGTGGGGAGGCGTACCAGGAACTTGAACTCGAAGGCAGAAACTTTCGAGTGTACGCTGTTGTACGCTCGGCTCTCGGGCTTTTGCGTTACGCGGACACGATTATTATGGAAATAGACGAACAATTCGGGGCACGGAACGTCGACGTCTATACACGATTTCTATCGTGCCGGGGCTTTAATTAGAACGCTCGATCATTTTTCTAAGTATCAGCCGTTTCGTCGGATTTGACGTAAACGTACGTTTCGAGTGAAATTAAAGTAACGAGTAATGCTCCGTTCTTTTAATTAGATAGTGTAATTTAAGCTTTTTGTCTAAACGAATAGCATCGGGTATTAGGTAATGAATGTAATTAAGATACTGTCTTTCGATTTTCATCTCATTGCAACGGTTGCTACTATCTTGGTACGAATTTATAATTGTATTTTATATTACTTTTGTGTCCGATTTTGATTATGAAAAGAGCGTTCGTCTTCTAGAATTCAGAAACAGTATTTACATTCCATTTTCTCTAATTAAACTAAAAGGACTTGTCGCACTAAAGAAAAATGGTACCTCGACAAAAATTAATTAACTATTTCAATTAGTCCCGTGCACTGTTTCCGGCTGCTCTAATTGCCACTAAATTCGCCGGCCGGTTCTTTTCAATTTCGTTAAATACCGTCTCGCTTTAGAGTGGCGTTGTTTTCGAGCGTATATACATACTTCCGAGTTGGCATCTTTACGATCACATGGTAAAAGTTTCTCGTGCCTTAGGCGACGTTATAGAACAAAAGTTTCCCTTCCAGAATCAGCGAGGTCATACAGGTGCCAGTGGGTGGGGTGCTGTCTGTGTTTTTGGCTCACGCGGTCGGCGATCGATAATTTAAAACGTATCGGTACGCGCCAC